GGCGGGCAGCCCGCGGCGGCGGCGGGAAGGGCCCCAGCGAGAGAAAGACGCCGGAGGGCAGGGCCAGCCCGGCGCCCGGCGGCCTCCAGCCCGACGGGCCCGGTCACGACGAGATGGTGAGCTTCGGGCGGGTGTCGAGGTCCCTGGTGCCGCCCGGCGGGGAGGAAGGGCCCGCGTGGGGCAGCGGGACGGCGGGTCGTGGTCCTCTTCCCTAGGATCTCTTGAATGTGTATTTGATAGAGGATGTTGCCTGCTGAGGTCCCAGTACTTTACCTGTGACAGGTTAAGGTGTTACGTCTGGTTTGTGTCAGGGTTGACAGCAGCCTTGCTAAGAGGTTAGACAGTGGATTTGTACAGGGTGGTTTGGATAGGGATGATTCTGCCCTCAGGCAGGGGGTTGAACTAAATGACTTCTGGAGGTCCCTTTCAGCCTGATTTCTCTGTGGTTCCATGATCCTGCATATGCATGTATGTGCGCTGTGCATATGGGTTTATGTACATTGGGCCATGCAGTCAGATGTGCACACAGGTGTATACGTACTAACTGCTAAGGAATGGGGGCTAGAAAAGCCCCATTGCCAATGAGCACATCACAGTTATGGTTGTGTTGACCTGCACTCTTGAAGTGGGACTTGGAGCTCTGTTTAAAGCAGGGATGTCAAAGATATAGCCCACGGGCCTGATCCAACCTACAGAGCTGTGTCATCCAGCCCCCAGTGTTGCTTGTGGGTCTCCAAGTGACCCAAAGGCAGCATGCAGGGTGCACTAGATGGCCCCATGTAATGTCCATGGAGTGGCCACCACGTGCATCACAGTGCCAGAGTGGTTGCGTACAGTGGTTGGAGTAAGGTCAGTCTGTGGGTCCAGTCCAGTCCAGCCCATGGACTGGTCCCACACTGCTCATCTGACTTATGGGGCCGGCTAAGTTTGGCACCCCTGGTTTAAAGCCTTAGTTGTTAGGGTAACCATCTTTTATAGGTTCTTCGCTCAAAAGAAATCCTCAAGCTCTGTAGTTTAAACTCCACAGTCCAGAGTTCTTCAAAAGGTGCCCTGACAAACTGAAATCATAGAAGTAGGGTCAGAAGAGACCTTGTAGATCGTCAAGTCTGACCCCCTGCCTGGTCAGGAGGGAAACTGGGCTCAAGTGACCCCAGCCAGATAGGCATCGAGCCGCTGCTTAAAGACCCCCAGGGTAGGAGCCAGCACTACTTTCCTTGGAAGTTGGTTCCAGATCCTAGCCACCCTAACTGTGAAGTAGTTCCTATGGATGTCTAATCTAAACCTACTCTCCAACAACTTGTGCCTGTTATTCCTTGTTATCCCGGGGGGCGCTAGGAGAAACAAGGCCTCCCCAAAACCCTTCTGGTCCCCCCTAGTGAGTTTATAGACGGTCACCAGGTCCCCCCTCAGCCTTCTCTTGTGAAGGCTGAACAGGTTCAGGTCCCGTAGCCTCTCATTATAGGGTCTGCCCTGCTGTCCCCAGGTCATGCGGGTGCCCTCCTCTGGACCCTCTCAATGTTGTCCACATCCCTCTTGAAGTGGGGTGCCCAGAACTGGACACAGTACTCCAGCTGTGGCCTGACCAGTGTCGCATCAAGGGGGAGGATCACCTTGGCCCTACTTGAGATGCACCTGTGGATGCACGATAGGGTCCGGTTAGCCCTGCCAACCGTGACCTCGCATTGTCGGCCCATGTTCATCTTGGAGTCAGTGATGACTCCAAGATCCCTTTCTGCCTCTGTGCTCTCAAGAAGGGAGTTTCCCATCTTATAAGTGTATTGCCGGTTACTACTGCCCAAGTGCAGCACGCTGCACTTGTCCATACTGAAATGCATTCTGTTTTTGTTAGCCAACCCTTGCAACCTATCCAGGTCTTTCTGCAGTCTTTCCCTCCCTACTAGCATGCCCACCTCACCCCAAATTTTGGTATCATCAGCAAATTTGAACAGGTTGCTTTTCACCCCGTCGT